GTTTAGGACCTTGAGATTTGGGGTGATTTGTCTTTCTCCTGCTGTCCCCTGCCTGTACCATTCACGCCTGGTGAACTTGACCTGTCCATTTAGGCTCCGTGTGAACGCCCTGACCCCTAGGAGGCTTCCCCTCAGGCCCTGCCTAGGAGGGACCTGTTACCCTTCCTTCTCTGGGGCACCCGGCTCTGCGCTCACTGGGGTCTCCCACCGGGACTGTGAGCAGCCTGGGGGCCGTGAGGGCTGGGCGGGCTCCTCCTCCAACCTCAGCGTGGCTCCTGCAGGTCACCTGCAAACATGGGCAAGAGGACACAGGAAGGATGCCAGGGCCATTGGGCCTCACGGCGTCGGGCTAGGTGTGCCCTGGCCTGCGAACTCCTGAAGGGCAGACACTGGCTTCTCTGGATCTTTGAATTCCCAGATCTTCTGACAGGAGGCAGGGCCCAAGAGATGCTGGTGGAAATGGGCTCAAAGAGACGATTTTGGGGTTTGCGAAGCTGCTGGACGAGGGGTGTGCCTCCTCAGCAAGAGAAATGCAGGGGAGGAAACAGCCTCTTCAGGGCTGCCCAAGAGGATGTACGTTAACTCCTCCAGAAACCACAGCACCAGGGGGCTTCGGGGCCGAAATTCCTGAAGGAAACCAGAGATTGTTCTATAAAAATACCCTTTCAAAAATAGCAGCTGCTTTGTTTTGCTTCCTAAAGGCCGCAGAGTGCGGCTTCCTGATTTGGGAAGACGAGTGTGTGAGCCGCATCACGAGGACCAGGGGGTTTGGTGCTGGCGGGTCTGGCCAGGAGCGTGCGGTCCCATCTGTCATGAGAGTCCCAGAGGGCCATGTGTGGGTGCTGGGCGGCCGCCTCGACTTGGAGCCCTGCCAGTGGGCAGTGACCAGGGACATATGGAGCCTGTTTACTTTTCGTCTTGACTCCCCCTCCCCACCCCTTGCCTTGCCCTGCCCTCCCCTCCCCTCTCCCACGCCCCCTCAGTGTATAACCATGTGGTTAAGAGAGTCCAGGGTCTCACAAACTGAGGGGCGAGTCCCAGTTCTATTAATTCCTAGCTGTGACATCTTGGTCAAGTAACTTAACGTCTGTGGCCTCATTTCCTCCATCTGTAAAGTGGGAGTAACAAGCATCTGATTATTACTCTAATTTCCCCTGGGAGGAAAATGAGGCTCCAAGGGTTATGATGAAGAATCAGGAGGCGACCACATCTGCCTCCGAGGCCCCAGCTCTTGGTGGCTCAAGGGCCGCACAGCACATGGCGGGCCTGGAAAGGAGTCCCCTCCTGGCTGGGAGACCCGCTCTGAGCCGCTGGGCTCTCTGGCACGGCTCGGAGCACACCTCCGGCTCACTGGGCCTGCTCCTCCTCTGAGAGCGCACGCGTGTGCCGTCTCCCAGACGGTCAGCCGTGGTCAGCCCCGAGCTGTGGAGCTGATGTTTTCCCCTTTCAATGTTCTGTGTTTTCCAGAAGGTCTGCCTTGTGCTGCCCGGTATTTGTGGTTAGAAAGACAAAAACAATAAATGCCATTCAGAAAAAAAATAGCTTTTGCTGACCACTTTTGCTTCCTGATCTCGTTAGGGACTCACAGAGGCTGGACGGACTTCTGTGGGGGGCAAAGGCCACCACCTGACAGGGGGGAGCCACTGGGCAGTGGGGGCCAGGTGCAGGGCTGGCAGGCTGCCCCAGTCCATGTGGTCTCTGCGGGGACCAAGCCTGCTCCCCCGGCCGGGCGGCCTGCAGGAGCACACGGGCCAGCCTCAGCGGGGCCCCCTGGGGAGATCTGCACTGGGTGGATCCTCGCATTCCGTCCCTCCATGGTGTTTTCTAGAACTATTACCCCTCCTGCCACTCTGCCTTTGGGTCACTGCTTTCTCCCGCTCTACTTCTGTTGGGGCTGCTGACTATAAAACCTCAACCCCTTGGTCAGGGGCTGGGACATTTTGACCCAACTTTTCTGCTCCTGTGGACATTTTGACCCCAAGGACGTTTTGAATGCAAGCGTTTTATCAGAATTACGCAACAGTGATGAGTTTTCCTCTGGAAAGTACCAGAATTCCACAGGGAACGCCATTAAGCCGATTTAATCCCTTTATCAATTTTCTATACAGCACAGTTAAACCATTTCCGATGTTTCTGTTTCCATTTTGCTGAAATTATTTTCATAGAGATCAATTCTTTTGCATTTAGAATTTCATAGCGGAGGTTTGCTTCATAAATCAGTTTTTTATCCATCTTAAGCTACTAATTGCAGCTTCTGCCATCGCAAGTGGCCACGGTTTCCATCAAGGAGCGTTTTACTGGGTTTATGCTCTGGTTTGTGTCATTTCTGAGTTAATCCATGAGGAAACAGTGAGGGATTTTATGAGACAGGGAGATAGCTGGGAGGGGAGCGAGGAGGAGGGGAGAGGGAGGAACAGGAGGGAGACAGACGGCCTCTGGGTGGAAACAGGCCTGCAGCTGCTCTGGTGGCTGGGGTGGGAGGGGGCAAAGGTCAGAGCCACAGGGTCATCACATGGCACAGCCCTGGTCACCTAGCACACAGGCTGGAGGGTGAGACTGAGGGGCTGCCAGCCACCACATTCTGCCACAGGAAAGAGCCTGTCAAAGTAGGAGGGTCAAGGAGCAGAGAACAGTGGGCGAAGAGACAGAGGGAGGCCCAAGGGCCTCTAGCATTTCAGATCCTGGATCCAGCCGTGCCTGAGAAAAGCTCTCCAGCTATCCTGTCACATCACTCAGTTAAGCTTCCTCATTTTTTTAGCTTAAGGTAATTGATTTGGGGTTCTGTCACTTGCAACCAAACACATTCTCCCAAATACCCTCCAGCTCTATGGTCACAAGGCTACGGTGACGGCCCATCTCATGTGTTTTTGATCTCTCTGAAAGTCTGGTGGAAACTCCTTCTCTTCTCGCTGTCACCCTCTGCTCAGGGCTGACGTACCAGGAGTCCACTCACTGTTCCTCCTTCAGATGTCCACCGAGTGCCCAGCATGTTGCAGCTGGTGTGCTGGGGAATGGGGAACAGAGTAGAGAACATTTGGGACAACTTATTCAGTCTCACTGAGCCTCAGTTTCCTTCCCTGTGAGACGGGTACAATCACGAGTACCGTGTGGGCGTCTGTGAGGAATAGCGGAGCCCAGGTTTGCAAATGCAGAGAGCACAGGTCATAGGGGACACTTACTACTCGAGCGTGGGCAGAGAGGAGGCCCTTGGCCTGGGGAAGGAGCCTCAGGACAGACAACTTCGATGGTCTGTCTCCTCGCTCTCAGACGGCAGGGAGTCAGAGACGTGAGACCCGCCCCCAGGAGTGGGAAGCTCGGCATTGAGAAGCCAAGATGGGTCCGAGTTCTCAGGGGGCATGCTGAGCCCCCAGCCCTGCCCGCAGCAGAGAGGGGGCAGCAGGTGGGCGGCCCTGCGGGACAGGCCGCCCTGGCTCCCTGGAGACCTGGTTTGGTGCTTAGAGGCCATTCCACCTACTGCCTCTGGGTTTTTGGAAGCGTGGTGGAAGCCAAATCCTCAGAAATGAGCTGGCACTCTCCTTTCTCTTGGTGCCTCCAACCTTGCGTCCATCTGTCTCTGCTGTTTACCAGAGTCCAGAATGGTGCCTTCTGCAGCATCCTGGGCCCTGGTTCTGGCCAAGACATTTGTTAGAAACAGGGTGGGCTCCTTAGCAAGACTCGCCTTAGCAATCTGAGCCTGCCCTGGGCACTCGGGCCGGCCGCGCAGCTGGGAGCGTCTGCTGGTTGGTGGCGAGTGAACCTCTGTGTGCATGTTGAAATCTGGGAGTGGGGAAGCTGGGACAGGTGTTTGTTGGACCAGCTTATTCAATATTTGAATATTAGTTTATATTTGGAAAAGTAAAAAGAAACTCCTATTGTTCGAATAAAACAAAGAAAGCAAAGCTTGAAAAATTGCCCTGGCTGCAGAGTGACATAGATGACAGCACTTTCTCACGGGCAGAGAAGGGTGGCAAATGTACATCTGGGGTGGGGACATGCCCCTGTCAAAGGCTGCCACTCTGCACTGCTCCAGTCTGCCTCACCTGGATCAGCCCCACCCTGATGCCTCAGCTGTCCTGTCCTACGTCCTCAGGCAACAGATTTGGAATATTGTGTCAGAAATGTCTCTCTTCACCATGGAGGACATGTGTCATGTTATAGAGAACAGGCTGTCAGGGTGGTAGAGGTTGTGTGATCCACATATATTCCCTAGGCCACCAAAAAATACCAAGGAGGTGGGGGCTTGCGCCTCTGCAGCGAAGTAGGCAGGGGCCAGTGAGGGGCGGAGGCATCCACTGTGGGTGTCCTGGGAAGGTCAGTCCTCCTTCCTTGAGTCCTGAGCTGATCCACTGGGACCTGGGGGGCCCTCTCAGAGAAGGCCAGGAGCCCTGGACTCTGGTCCTCAGCTCTGTCCACAGAGACCAGGAAGGACAGGAGACTCAAGTCAGATGACCTGGGCTGAGTTACAGTTGTGTTATCGATTAGCTGTGTGACTGTGGGCAACTCGCTTAACCCCTGTTTCCATCTTTACGAGCCAGAGCTGCCGCTCCTCCCTTCTCCCTCTTCTGAGCGTCAAGGATATCCCTGTTTCTCTCCCTGTAAGACTGTAGGCAGCGGATGTATCGCGAAGATCCTCGGCTAGAACCAACACAAATAAGAACCAGCATCTGTGGAGGGCGTCCAGGCCAGGCATCATTCAAGTGCATTTACATGTACTTACTCCATGAATCCTCCCCACGACCTCGTGGGATGGGTACTATTTATTACCCTATTTTACAGCTGGGGCAACTGAGGCAGAGAGCGCTACGAGAGGAAGTGCCACTGGTTGAACGTGGGTGGCCTGGCCCTGAGTCTCAGCAGGTGGGCGCCACACTGACCTGCCTCCAATGAAAGTCCCACCAGTCAGTGGGGGAGTGGATGGCCCACCCCTGGCCACCTGCCCCCCCCCCCCCCCCCCCCCCCCCCCCCCCCCCCCCCCCCCCCGGGCCATGAGAAGGGGGAGGGACTCCACCTGAGCTTCCGGAAGCCAGGAGCTTTCTGGGGCACAGAACCGGCACTGTTTCTTTCTCTTCCTCTTCGGCTTTCCTCAAACTCTTCTGTGCTGGCTTTTTGATGAATCCTTTTTTTCTCTCATGGAAAGAAGCTTCCGGTTGAGGAAACTGAGGCACAGAGAGGTGACTTGTCCAAGGTCATGAGGCACCCTACTGACAAGAGGAGTTTGAATGGGATGGCGGCAGTGTCCTCTCCAGCTGCAAGTCACACGACTTTATGGTCCTGCAAAAGGAATTTTTAAGCTGTAGTATGTTGAAAATGTAATAGAGGGAGGGAGAAAGAGAGACAAAGAGAGAAGGGGCTCCCTGTTTTTCTGTTTCAGACAGGGATTCCCAGAATCGGGGAAAGGAACCTGGTGGGCAGGCCAACTCCAAAGACGAATGCCAAGCCGAGGGCCCATGACAGTGAGCAGTCCGCCTGCTGGCCTCTGGGATGGAGCTTAGCCAGAGACCAGAGGCACAGTCAAGGCCCCCACCCCCTTCCCTCTGACGGTGACAGACCTGGCGCCTGGCAGAACCCTACTCATGCTGTGGGGGATGGAGGGAGAGGCCGTTCCTCTGGCGACACTCAAAGGGGGCTTGTTACTGAGGCCTGGGGACACCTGCCCCGAGCTTCTGAGATCTGCTCCTCTGCCCACACCTCGTGGTTAGCACTCGGGCTTCAGGGACCAGGCTTGGAAACCCAGCTCAGCCATTCACTGGCTGTGAGATCTTGGGCAAGTCACTCACCCACTCTGTGCCTCAGTTTCCTGGTGTGAAAAGTAGTGACTGTTACAGTAGCCACCTCAGAGGGCTGTTGTTGGGTTAAACGAGACAGGCAGGAGCAGTGTGTGGGTGCTCAATAAACGTTTGCTATTGTCGGTATTACGATTATCTTCAGCCTTAACTACAGCCGTCAGCTACATGCCCGGACTGTTTGAGCCTCGTTCCTGGGGTGATGGTCAGAGATGCTTGCAGGGTTTATACGTGTGATTCCTCACTGAGGCACCAGACTATGGTGGGGGGACCAAGTGACAAGAAGCCTTAAGTCACAGTGAGTCCTAGCTCCACTCTGTATTCTTATGGGCACGTCAGTGGGTCACCTCATCTCTCTGAGCCTCAATTTCCTTATCTGTAGAATGCAAGTCTATTGGTTAAAAATGCTTTTCACTAGGGGTAACAGAAAACTCCACTAACACCAGAAGAAAAGAAGAGCGATTTTTTTGGCTCACCTACCCAGAAGTCTAGAGTAGACAGGCCAGGGTTATTGCAAAGGCGCCCAGCAGGGGCCCTGACTGTATCTCTTCCTTTTCCCATTCTTAGCGTGTTGGCTGTGTCCTCATGCTTGCTGCCTCATGGCCTCAAAGTGGCTGCTCCACCTCCAACCTCTGGTTTGTGTTCTAGTCAGAAAGAAGAATAAGGGATTCTGTGTTCAGATGGGGGACCTGCCTTAGGGCCTTTGGCCTACATCTTTTTGGCCAAAATCATGGTGATTGATCACCTCTAACTTCAACAGCGTCCAGGAAATGGACTCTTCTAGCTCCCTAGACTCGTTAGCAGAGGAAGGCAAGGAGAAGGCAGTTGTGGATGCCCTTCAGGCGGCAGATCTGCAGGGTCTCCCATGGGGCCTCAGGGAGGACGTGTGTAAGTGCTAACCTAGTGCTGACACAGATTAAGCACTCAAGGAAAGAACACTTTATCCTTATTAGCTAAGTGTGGTCAAGAAGGAATTCAAAGGAGGGAAAGATTAATATCTGACAGTGCAAAATGGCCCTTAATAAATGGATTTCCTTCCAGTTCTCCTCCTGGTCTGCACCGGCCTGCTTGGGGTTGTTCTTGCATCCCCCATCTACGACCACGCTCCCACTGAAGTTGCCAGCACAGGGGCCATTCTGAGGCCCCTACCTTCATGGACTCTCTCTTCAGGCTGGCAGCTTCGTGCTGGCTGTGCCTGCCGGTTACCAAACCACCGGAGAGCGTGTTGGGCCGGAGTCAGGCTGTGTGCCCTCCATCCTGTCAGCGCTCTTGGTTGACTGCACGGCCCGCTCTGCCCTGATCCAATCAATGACTTCAGGACTGAGGCCCGAGAGGTTCCGCCCAGCCTCCTGACCTCTTCAGAAAGATACAGTCCTGTTCTGAATGGTTTCATTTTTAAATGTATTGTAAAAAATGTGTTTATCCAGATACAATGCAGAATTCACGATGACACCTGGGTGTTTACTGCAACAGCGCTTCCTTCGGGCTCCTGATTGTTCATTGACCGGGTAAATTATGCACGCGGGAGGTAAGGAAGGAAATTCATTCATTTCACAGTCAACCACAGGCCTCATCGCATAGTCAGCAGCTCACCTCCAACTGGTCTCAGCAGCTAAGAACTTGAACCTCAAACTGGGGGCTGTTCCTCCTGGACTTTAATGGAGGCAGATTTCAAGGCTTTTGGGAGCTAGGGGTGGGGACTGGATTGTTCTCGGGAAAAACCTAGAGGACTAACGAAACTGACCTGCTGGTTCCCAGGTGTGAGTGACCGAGGGACGGCGCAGAGGCTGGATGTGGGGTGGCAGCTGCTGATCTATAGGTCTCCCGATGGACGGGAGCTGATTACGGCAGCTTCTGATTTACTCTTGAGCTGAACGGGGTTGAGCTGAATAACAGCCCTTGGAAAGTGGGAATTAAACCAATCTTTCTGCCCCGCCTCCCCTGCTTTATGGGTCTTGCTAGGAAATCTCAATCGGGCTCCAGGCTGACTTGGTAGTTCTTCGACCAAGGGTATCATCAATCTTGAAACTTTTGGAGAAGTGTATGGATTTTGTAGGGGGAGGAAACTAGCTATGTTTGTGGGATAGACAGCGTTATAAATTAGAAGCATGGCTCCTGGTAGTATTTGTGAAGTCTTATATTCATCCTTAAATAATGACTAACGTGTATTTGAGTACTTCCTGTGTGTCGGGCACTGTGCCGAGGTCTTTTCACGGTCGAGCCTCAGGTATTAATCCTCACTATAACTCTGGGAGGGAGGAACGATTTTATCCTCACACTGGAGATGAGGAAATTCAGGCTCCAAGAAGTTGCTCACCTGGAGCCACATCGTAAGTGTTGGACCAGAAACCAGAACTCCTGTCATTCTGAGTTCACTCTAGAATAAACAGCCAGGCAGGTGAGACCAATGGGTGAGGCCAGGGAGTCAGGCCCCTGGGGTCTGGTGTCTCCCTCTCCAGATATCAGTGTCTCCCTGAGAAGTGAGGGGTTGTGTTAGTCAGGATTCTCCAGAGAAACAGAACCAATAGGATGTGTGTGTGTGTGTGTGTGTGTGTGTGTGTATGTACATGTATATAATACATATAGGAAGAGATTTATTGTAAGGATTTGGCTCACCTGCTGGTGGAGGCTGACAAGTCCTGAGATCTGCAGTCAGCAGGCTGGAGACCCGGGAGAGCCGAAGGTGTCATTCGAGTCTGAAGGTTGGTAGGCTTGAGACCCAGCAAGGGCTGATGTTTCAGTTTGGGTCAGAAGGCAAGAAAGCACTGTTCAATGTTGCAGCTTGAAGGTAGTCAGGCAGGAGGAGTTCCCTCTTACCTGTGAGAGGGTCAGCCTTTTTGTTCTTTTCAGGCCTTCAATGGATTGGATGAGGCCCATCCCCCCAGGGAGGGCAGTCTGCTTTCCTCAGTGCACTGACTGAAATGTAAATCTCATCCAGAAACACCGTCACAGACACACCCAGAATAATGTCTGACCAAATGTCTGGGTACCGTGTGACCCAGTCAAATTGATACATAAAATTAACCATCACAAGGTTGGTCTCCCAGGTCTTTGGGACTTTTCCAGGTGAGATATTCCGTGCCCAGGAATTAATGCCAGCCCCAACCAAGCCTGAGCTTGCCAGACCCCACCATATATGGTAGATTGTCCCTCTGTGGCCAGCTCTGTGGCTGGGTCAGCTCCCAGCATTGTCTCTTTACCACCTCCCAGTCCTTGCCTGGGCCCCAGAAATGCCTAATGGCTGAGCCCAAGAATTATGACCACAGCTTGTCACTAACTTCCAAAGAGTAAACAGCCAGGAAATCACAGAACACTAGTTCTCCAAAGGTTTTGAAGTCCTGACCGAGGCATGCAATTGTTCCTGCCTAGCCAACCAGGGCCCCGAGACTAAACCTTCGTCCAAACCATCTGGAGATCTTGTTAAAATGCAGATTCTGATTTGGTTGATCTGGGACAGGGCAGATGCTGTATTTCTAACAGGCTCCCAGCTGGTGCTGATGCTGCTGGGCTGCAGGCCACACCTTGAGTAGGAAGAAACTAGAGACCCCCAGTTCACTAGTTGAGTATTTACTATGCTTCAAATTTAGGTCATTTTCTGCCAAGCTTAAGCAAGTCTCAAACACGAATCTATATTTTGCATTGTGTAGAATGCTGTTTTCATCATTTTGTTGTTAAGATTTTTGTATTCGTACCTCCATTGGGAAACAACTTATTCCCATTTTAACAGAAAACCAATCTGAGTTTTTCCTCAAAACTTGTCTGCCCTTGGCTCTCAGTCCCTGTAGGGATATAGATTTTGGATGGATAAGACAATGTCCCCTCCTGCAGACTCCTCAGGACTTCTCTTCTAGTATCAATGTCAAAACAATCCTGATTCCACGTTCCAGTGGAAGGCACTGGAGAGCTGGCTAAGACAATGTCACTTGTCCTTGGGTGTGTGCTGAGGCACGGGATTCAACACGGTGCTCAAGGCCTTTGCACCCAACCCCGCACCCTGCGTACCTTGCCCTGGTGGGGAACGCCACCATGCTCTCAGCCTCTCACTGCTCCCAGCCTGCCTCCCTCCTGACCTCTGAGCCTCTTTGTGATGAGGATCATGTCAGCCCATCTCTATGACTCTTGTCCCTGGCTCATTAGGTGCCTAATAAATGTGTGCATTAAATGTATACCTCTCAGAGGGCTTCCACTTTATCTCCCTGCCTGAGGGCATAAGAGACCTGCCCTAGGCCCCACAGCCCTGACCGGGAAGGCAGCTTCCTCTTGTCTTTCCTGAACCAGCCTGTAAACTGATGCAGATGAGACCTGGAGACCATCGTGTCCAGCCTAATGAGTTGATAAACTGAGGCCAAGTAGGGCCAACGATTCGGCTGGGAATCTTCAGCAAGTTTGAGAGTAGCTGAGCCTGGATTCTGGCTGTCCTGACATGGGTCTCTGCCCACTCCTCCTTCAGATTTCATTTGTTTTTCCACTAAAAAAAATCAAGAGGAAAGATAATGAAGAAAATGCTCTAAGCCGAATAAAGAAGGATGGGGGCTGAGCCTGTGAGTTTTGTTGTCTTCTGGGCTTGGGGCTCCCAACCTGAGACCCTCCCGGGTTTCCTATCTGAGATTTAGGGGGTGCTGACGCCATTGTCTCTGCGGGAAGGTGAGACCCTGTGACTTTTGTTTGTTTGAGGATGCAATATGATGCAGTGGAAAGCACAGGGGCCAAACTTTACGGTGTATACCTTATGGCCTAGCGATTCCATTTCTAGGAATCTCTTCTACAGAAATTCTTGTACCTACGCACAGAAATTTATATGGAAGGATTCTTGTTGCAGTTGTGTTAGAAATAAAAGTCCATCTCCTTAAACATTCTGAAGTCGTTGAAAAAGAATGCGGGAGAGCTCTTTATGTACCAACATGGAGAGAGGTCCAGGATATACTGTTAAGTGAAAAAGCAAATCACAGAAAAGTTTGTATAGTAGGACCTTGTTTATGTTTTAATAAAATTGTGTGTATATAAATATATAGGAAAGATCAGAAAGGATGCACAAAACTACAAACAGTCGTTCCTCTGGGAGGAAGTGGTTGGTGGTGGCAGAAGGGTGAAGAGGAGCTTCGGATTTTAATTTTACATATTTTTTGTTTGAATTCTAAACAAGGAACTAATTAGTATAGAATATTGTGTTAATATTAATGTACTATTACTTCTGTGATTTAAAAAAACACACAGAGAGAAGCAAACAAACAGGCGCTTTGGCATCATTCTACCCTACGTTTGATCCTTGTATTCATTGCCTCTTGCTGTGCAACAAATTATCCCTGAACCCAGGGGCATAAAATCACACACATTTATTGCCTCCTGCTTCCCGCTGGTCAAGAATCCGGGCATGGCTTAGTTGGGTCGTCTGGCCCAGCATCTCTCACAGGCTGGAGTCAAGATGTCAGCTGGGGCTGTGGTCTGGTCTGAAGGCTCTGCTGGGGGAGGGAGCTCTTCCAAGGTCACTCACACGGTTGTTGGCAGTGTTCAGTTCCTGGAGGGCTATCGTTCTTTGCCAGGTGGACCTCTCCATGGGGCAGCTCACGACCTGGCAGCCAGCTTCCCTCAGAGTGAGTGAATAAGGGAAACTGGGCAAGGGGAAGCCCAGGTCTCCTTTAACTGAATTTCAGAAGTGACTCCCCTCATGTTTGCCATATTCTGTTCATAGCAGTGTCCCTAGGTGCCACCCACACTCACGGAGACAGGATTGCAATGTGAGGTGGGGGTCATTGAAAGCCAATGTAGAGATCGCCTACCACAATCCCAGTCTCTTCAATTCACTGTTCACGAGCTGTGTGACACTGAGCAGGTCACTGAAAATCTCCAGACTCCAGTGCCTTCATCTGTAAAATGGGCTCACAGCAGCTGTTGCGCAGGGTCGTTGTGAGGATAACATGCAATAAAGTGTGTGAAATGGCCAAGCACATGACAAGCCCTGATTGCCCTCTCTCCCCCTAGCCATGGAAGAGCCATGGATTACACATTTTCCATGATCATCTCTACAAGCAAAAAATCTATCCACAGACTCTGCTTCTCCAGAAACTCACTTTCAGGGAACTCTCCAGATAAAATTATGTCTATGACAAGGAGCCTGGAATAAAGAGTTCTCTGAAGGCTGTCAACACATGGTGAGGAGGCAGGATTGAGCGCGATGTTAATAATTGTGTCGAGGGCATGAAGGTGCTGCAGATTATGGAACGCTTGGAGAAAATGGGACGTTTTACCGCGGGTCTCAGTCATGAGCAAAATTTCGCATTCAAAATTAGTCAGAAAAGGTAATTAGTGTCAAGGAGGGATTGCTGCCTCCTCGTTAACGTGACGGATGTTGGTGTGGGCTCCCGCTAATGACTTCTGGAATTTTCATTCGGGAGACAATCGGAGCAATTTGGTGGTCAGCAGACAGCCTGAGAATCAATCACCACGATAGTCAATAATTTATCATTTCTATTTAAAGTCTGGAGTCTGCATCAGCTTAAAAGAAGCGAGCGCTGATGGAGGAAGGTTGGCATCCAGCGGAACGCTGAGTCCTGGCTCCGTCTGTGTAAGAGGCATCCTTTTCCTCCCCAGCGCAGAGCAGACAGGGAAGTCATTTGAAGGATCTGCTTCCCACTCTGTCTTGGGGTGGAAGCAGCCATGCGCTGCTGGCTGCAGGGAAATCAGCATCCAGATGTTAACTAGAGCTAGCTTCACAAGTTCATCTCTGGTGATTAGAAAAGCGATCACCACTCAGTGATCCCTGAATTACATCATGAGGAACTGTGAGGTGGGGCGGGTCAGCTCCCCTCCCTGGAGGACACTGGCTTGGAGAGCCCTTGTCCTTCCAAAGAACCCCAGTTAGTAAGGGACGGAGCCGAAGTTCTGACCTTGGTTGTGTAGTGTCCTTTCAGCTTGAGTCATACCGACAACAACAGTAATAGTAATAATCCTTGAGAGTTTACTGTGTGCCTGGTGCTCGCTGAGTGTTTTGCATGCATTATGTCCATGTGATCTTTACAGACGGAGGCTTAGAGAGGTTGAATAAGTTGCTCAAGGTCACACAGCAAGCATTTACAGGGCTGATCTTCGCGCCCAGATCCTGGTCTCCTAAGTACTGTGTTAGATGGTACTGTGTTGGATGCAGGAAATGATGCTACATTCTCATTACCTCAGCCCTCTCATCCATAAAATATGAAAGATGATGTGCTCCACATGCAATTGCAGGAATAGGTTTCTCGGTAAGCGGTAACGTGGACACCTGAAGCCTCAAGGTAACTGAGATCTGGTAACTGCAAGATGTGGTCACACGCAGGCACCTCTGTGCTGTTGGTTGAGACTGAAGCCACCCATCTCCTGCCCGCCCCCCCAGATCCACGGAGGCATCAAGTCCTGCCCTGTCATTCTTGACGGTCTCGTGCGTCCACGCCCTATGTCACACTCATATCACATTTGATCTATAGATGCCACCAAATTAGCCTTCTACTACTTTATGTCTGCGTCCCCTCTTCCAAAACTTCCAGTGGCACCCGGTTCCTTTTGGATTAAAGGTGGCCTCCTCAGAGCAGCATTCAGGGCCCCAATCCCCTTGCATGATCTGGCTCCAATCTGTCTCCAGAGTACTCTCTTCTGCACGTGCTCACTGCCTGCTCAGATCCCTCCTCTTCCTCTTTATCTCCTTCTCTTTCCTCTCCATCATCATCATCACAGTAATTGTCCTCCTCACGACCCCCACCAGCTTCCCCAACCCATCAGGTGCCCAGGAAAGTTTCCCTATTCCTGGCCTGTCCCCCAAGCAGGGGTCCACATTCTTTGTCCCATTCTCAAGATTGGGACTTATCAAGTACACATTGGCACCACCTCCATGCCCAGGAAGTCCCAGAGAGACGACTGAGGTTGGAGGCACAGTCTGGACTGGAGAGAGGGCGAGCTCACTGTACATGGATCTACCC